CTGTTTATTATTAGGGAATTAAATATTTTTATATGTATAAATATTTTGCCTGCATCTATGTAAGTGCACTTGTGTCATGCAGTGCCTACAAAGGACAGATCCCCCCGGAACTGGAGTTTCGGGTGGTTGTTAGCCACCATGTGGGTGCTAGAAATCAAACCGAGGTCCTCTGTAAGAACAGCAAGTGTTCTTAACCCTTTCTTAAATCTCTCCAGCCCCTATTAGGGAATTTTTAACCTTACATATCTTAGATGTCTTTTGCTAATAAATTTGGCTTTACAATATTGGGTTTTGTTGTTGAGTGCTGGGAATCAGACCAGGGCTGTGTAAGCTAGGCAAGTGCTCTACCATTGTGCATCTGCTCCAGCCCTACGATATTCTTTTTTTTTTTTTTTTTTAGTTTGGATAATATTCTATTGAGCAAAACCACAACGTTATTTGCAGATGGACAGACATTTTGTTTTTTTAACTTTCTGATTTTATGAACAGTGCTACAATGAACATTTGTTACCTTTAGGATATATTTCTAGAACTAAATCTTCATGTATGCATCTATTAGAAACTGTTCTCTGTAAAGGTTGTGCCACTGTATAGTTCTATGATTAGTGTATTCTAGGACTTCTTTTGCCTTACTGGCTAACAGTTGTCTAGAAATATGTGAAGTCAGCCAAGTATGGTGCCTTCATGTTTGTAGTCCCAGTACTTGTGAGGCTTAAGCAGAAGGATTGCCACAAGTTTAAGTCAGCCTGGGCTGTTCAGTAGGACCATATGAAAAAGCAGAAAGGGAAAAGTGGGGGTGGGGGGCAGGAAGAAATATATACTGTCTTTTCTAATCTGATTGGCAGGTGTTACTTTGTTTTAAATTCTGGTGAGGTTAGCTCTCACTGTACATACATACATACATACATATTTGCAGTCATTGTATTCTTCCTGGTCATGCCCTCTCTCCTTCCTACACATACAAATCTGCTATTCTAACTATTGCTGTTTTTATGATACCATAAACTCCAAATGTTTTAGTTTTAAAAACTTGGTAACAAGCCTGAATTTTACTATGCAGTGGAAGGGTGTTAGTTGTCACTGATTCCAAGGTTGAGATAAACAGGGTACCTGGACCATAGTTGAGCTTCGACTTCTGGTGAATCATGAGTCTCTTTTGGGGAAATCAGTGTGGAAAGTCATGAGTATATCCTGGGACCCTTAAGGCTCACAATAATCAGAGAATTGACATACCTCTTGTGGGGAACCAGATGTTCAGTGTCTGGCAGAGCTGGTTCCGACTTCTAAGTTCAGCATTACTTTAGCCCATCTGAATATGAGATAGAAAGAGAAAAGCAGAAGGCATCAGTTTGGTAACTTCTGATAACTTCTTAAGGAAAGGTGTGTGACATGTTAATATTGAGATTTTTGTATATCTGTTTACTCTTACACTTGGTTGATAGCTTGGCAGGGTATAGAATTCTCAGCTGAAAGTTTAAAGATGTTATCCCGTGTCTTCAGAATTTAAAGGTGTTATCCTGTGTCTTTGTCCTTCCATTATTGTGCTGAAATGCCTAAATCCTCATTTCTAATCCTTCATTATTGGACTTTTTCCTGTCTGCAAACTTGTGTGATTCTCTTCTTGCCCTTGCTCTTCCAAGTCCTTTGCAGTGATACACCTTGGCTTACGCTGTGTGCCTAGTGGACATTTTCACCCTAGAAATAGATTTCCTACAGTTTAATATTTTAAAAAGTTATTTTCAACCAGGAATTGCGGTTCAGTGTTCATAGTCCCAAAACCTGGGAGGCAGAGCCAGAAGGCTTGAGGCCAGTTTGGGATATAAAGTGAGATTTGTGTCATCCCCCTCCCCCCAATTATTTCATTGCCTTTTCTCTTTGTGAGACTGTGCTTCTCCAATTTTTTCTTTTTTGAGACAGGGTCTTGCTCTGTGTCCCAGGCTGGCCTCAAACTCTATAGTCCTCCTGTTTCTACTTCCAAAGTGCTGAGATTGCATGTATGTTCCCACCGAGTCAGGCTTTCCTGTTTTCCATCTTATATTTTTGCTGTAGTTTTTGAGGTTGTCTCGTCTTTGCCTTCCAACCTTTCTACGTTTTTTTGTTTGTTTGTTTTGTTTCTTCTATTATGTTCATTTCATTGTATTTTAATTCTTTTAGCCTGGTCTCACTGTGTAGCTTAGACTGGTCTCAAACTTGTCATCCCTTTTCCTCTACCTCCCAAATAATTAGGATTCTAACCATACACTGTTGTGTCTAGTGTTTACTGTTTTCTTGCTTCAAGAGCCACCTTTTTTGTTCTTTCTTTTTGTACCTTTCATTTCTTATATATCTGAAAATCACTGGGTTTTAAAAATTGTGATATCTTAATGTACGTTTGTTTTAATAGTTTCTATTTGGTCTGAATCATGAATAATTTGGGGGATGCCCCAGATACCTGGTAATCCTTGACTGATTGGGAAGCTCTGAATTGATAGCGGTTGTAAACTACATTTGATCCCCACCCTGGGTAATTGTGTGCTGCTCAGTCTCGATTCTGGCTCAGTGCTTCTCAGACTGACTGGCAAAGCAGAGTTTTGTTTTTCACTCCAATCTGTTGTGTACTGATAGTTTTAAACTACACTAAAATAAATTACTAAAGAAAGGGAATTAAAACGTGAAGACATAAGATACAAGTCCATGTGTATATAGAGATATTTTTTTCTGCTTTTTTGGTCTTTTTGAGACAGGGTTACCATGTAGACAGGGCTGGCCTTGGTCTCACAGAGCTCTGCCTGCCTCTGCCTCCCGAGTGTTGGGCCCAGCACTACAAGTCCTTACTTTTTTTTTTTATTAGATTCAATAAACATAAACTTTGAAGATTACTGTAGTAGTTTTTCTAAATACTCACTTTCTATACCTGCCTTGTGGTCTTTCAACAGATGGTCATGAGCTCTTGGCAGACCATATTTCAAGTAGCACCCTTTCAGCCTAGGAGCCAACCTAGGAGGGGGTAAAAGGCGATGTGGAAGTTGGTGTCTCATTTGTGTATACGTTAACTATCCCTCTTGCTTTTGGTATGGTACTCCTTCTCTGAGCTAGTCTGGCCTCTCTTATTTTAGAAATTCTCTTTTACCTTCTGCAAAGAATAAACTTTTGAGATTTCTTCTGTGGTGAGAGAAGAGAAATTTCCTATAGTAAGATGGCCCAGGGGAGGGAGTCCTAGAATCTAACGTAAACTCAAGTAGCCTTTTCTACATTTTCCTTTTTTTAGGGTTTCCTGCCTTACTTCCTCCCATTTCAATTTCTTGGTGATGAATTTCCTACATTTTTGGAAGAGTCAGTCTGAAGCTGTTTGCCAGAGATTACTGATGTTCTTTGGTTCACTTATGGCGTATCTGCTTTCCAGCATTTTCCTGTGGGAGGTTGTTAATTTTTCCACAGGGATTTTGTATGTGTTTGATACTGCATTCCTTTCTACAGGCTTTTCTGCACTTCTAACTGTATTGGTAACACTGTTTATATTTCTATATTGTAGATTTTATCATTCACAGATATTTCTTCTGTGTTACATTATTTCCTGTTTTGAGTTCTTTTCTGTTTGAAATTTGATTTTGTTGAAGTGTTTACTCTGAACTTTCTTCCACAAAGCATATATAGTCTATGAATCTTTGTATATCTAAAATTCCTTTTTTCTCACATGAGAGTTTTATTAGATGCAGAATGAATTCTTGAATTAATCCTTTTCTCTTAAAACTCTATAAATGTTTGTTCCACTATTGCCTGTCATTTATAGCTGTGAACGAAATGTCTTGACTAATACTGGTGTCTGGTTTGGTAACTGCTTTCTCATTTACTTTGTTCTCTCTTAGATAACAGTATGCTTTTTTTTTTTTCAGTATATCATTTCAGGTTTGTGATTGTAACTGATAGAACTCCCCCCTTTGAATGGACAGCCATTGTCTGAAAATATTAACTAGAAAAGTCCAGAAACAATCAGTTTACACACTACTAATTGCATGCTACTCTGAGTACTGTGGGGAAATCTATTTCTGTACTTTCTGGGATGTGAATTACTTGTCTAGCCTATTCACATGCTGTATATGTGGCCTGCCTGTTAGTCACTTAGTAGCTATCTGGTTGTTAGCTTGACCTTCATGGAATCATATTACCCACATGTAGTAGCTACGTCACAGTGTCTATCACATTCACCTTGGTTTGTCAGCATTGTGTCATCAGGCTTCACGAAGAAAGGTGAATATGATACAATATGACATTAAGAAAGAAGCCACATCATTTTTTTATAACGTGCTATCATTTTATTTATTGTTAATATCTTACTGCACCTAATTTGTAAATTAAACTATCTCACACACACACACACACGAATGAATGAATGAATGAATGAATGGATTGTATATACAGGGTATTGTACTACCTCTGGTTTCAGGCATTCACTAGGGGTTTTAGAATGTCTTTGTGCCCCTAAGTAAGACCAGAGAATTTGGAGAATGGAGGTGCTATTGTATTACTTGATTTAAAGTATATATTTTTTTGTCCCTTTTTTTCAATGGCAATACTTAAGAATTATAGTTAATGTTTTTTGCTGCTGGATAGAAGGGAAGACAGGTTTCTCTGGGTTCTGTTCTATGTGAGCTACTCCACCAATTGCTTCCGCTTATCTTTCTTGATGGCATTGTTAGTTAAGATGAGGATAAACCAAGTTTTTCTCAGTTTTTTTAATTAGAAAAAGGGAAATTTAAAAGTTAATTTTTTCTAATATAGCCATAATTTAAAAAAGGACAGAATTCGGTAGGGCGTGGTAACACACACCTTTAATCCCAGCACTTGGGAGGCAGAGGCAGGAGGGAAGTCTCTGAGTTCCAGGCCAGCCTGGTCTACATAGCAAATTCCTGGCCAGACCGAAAAAAAAAAAAAAACAGAATTCTTAGGCAGAATAGAGCTGTTAGTGAAGGAAGGCTTGTCTTTGTTCAGAAATAATTTTCTCTTTACATCTCTCCTGACAGCTAATGCTAGCAGCTCCCTGTTCTTCCTGGCCTCTGGACTTGGCTGAAAACTCTGAATTCATCCCTTTTCTTCTCAGACCTCAGCCTTCGTCTTCTGTCATCCAAAGAGCTCCAACCTGATCTTTCATTGAAGCTTCATTCTCTCCCAAGGTATGTTTAATGGAGGAAGGGGATAGAATTTTGTCACTTCCTTGTTTAGGGTATGGCAGATACCCAGTAAATACTGGTTAGATGGATGTCCCCTAATGAACTTCCTCTTTTCAAATGCTGGTTGGTAGCTGAGTGTGATGTCCAATCTTGTAGTCTAGGCTACTCACTGGCTGAGGTGGGAAAACTGAGCCCAGGAGTTTGAGGCTAACTTGGGCAACATAGACAACTAGCTAGATCAAGGTACAAAACAAGTAAATGGAAATATTAAAGTTTCTCACCATTGTTGAGGATTTTCTGGGGTTCCGTGATTGCTGCTGCTGTTGTTATTTCATTGGACAATTATTGATAAAGGGAAGAAATCCTGTGGTTTATTTTGCCATCTTGATGCAGGAAATTATATTACTTTAATACTTTGCTTTTTAATTGTAATGTTATAAGATGTTGATAAAGTTTTATGAGTTAATAAAACAGTTTAAATAGCACATTTAAAACCAGTTGTCTTTGTAGGTGGGGGTGGAAATTGGACTGAAATAAAAATTGGTTTAGTATGTTGGAGGATGAAAAATTATGATAAATTTTCTGTCTTCTTAAGTTACTTAAGATGTTCACTGGGCTGGAGAGATGGCTCAGTGGTTAAGAACACTGGTTCTTGCAGAAGACCTGTGTTCGAATCCCAGCTCCCACACGGCAGCTAACTGTCCGTAACTCCAGTTCCAGGGGATCCGACAGCCTCTTCTGTACTCCGCAGGCAGCGCACGACACAGGTGCACTTACCTACATGCAGGCAATACATGCATACACGTAAAATAAAAATAATAAAAATATTGAAAAAAAAAAAAAAAAAAAGATGCTCACAACATGCAGTATGTTTTTTGACCAAAAGTGGCAACCCTAATGTAAGGTGCTGTATTAGTTACATTTCTATTGCTGTGATAAAACACCATGACCAAGGGAACTTATAGGAAGAAGAGTTTATTTGAGCTTAGGGTTCCAGAGGGATTAGAGTCTGTTATGGCGGGGAGGCGTGGTGAGAGGGCCCGCTGGAGCAGGAGCAGAAGCTAAGTACTCACATCTTTCAATCAGGCACAGGAAGTAGAGAGTGACTGGAAATCTGGCAAGGCTTAAGAACTCTCAAAGCCTGCCCCCAGTGACATACTTCCTTTAGCAAGGCCACACCTCCTAAAACTTCCCAAAACAGTGTCACCAACTGGGGACAAAATGTCCAACTATTTGGAGCCTATGGGAGATACGCATTCAGACAGCCACAGGTGCTCTCCAGTGTCATTGCTTGTGTATACTTGGAGTTGAACATAAAGACCACATAGATTCCCCAAGTAGAGTTGAAATTTGAGAGCAATTTACCAGTCCTGACTTATCTAAAATACATAAGACTCTTCCCATTCTGTATTGACATTTAGCTTTGATTGGCAGTTAGCAAATTTAAGTAAAAGCTAAGGATATTTCTTACCAAGATAATAAAGTAAGTGCTCCTGGCTGGTCATTTTGGAATCATCTTTAAGTTCCATATTAATGAAGGGATAGCAGTCAGATGTCCTTTTATCCTGGCTTCCTGACAGGTCTAGGTTTCAGTAGCTTTTCTTTTAGGGCCCCCATACCTTCTAAATGACCTTTGCCTTGTATTGCCTTTTTTTTGGTAATACTAAGATTTTAAACATCCCATTCCAGGGTCACAGTTTTAAAGAGATGGCGATAAGTCAGCTTCGTTTAGAGTTGTCCTTGCTGATGAAAGTCTTGCTTTGAAAAATATACTAAAATTTTGCACAAAATAGTTGGTATAAAGTTTGCCTTATAGTTTTTAATTCTTCATGTTGAATTTTTAGTGTAAATTATAAACAACACATATGTAACTCCAAATCTCTTTCAATATATAAGGAAAAGATAGACCCACATCCAGCTGTGATATTATTCTTAATGTTAAACACATTGTCTTTATGTCAGAGAGGCATGAAAAATAAATATAGGCTACACACTAAAGAGGAAAATGAACAGGCCAGTAATTCATTATATTTCCAGAGTAGATTTTTTAATTTTGTTGGATATGGGGAATTTTTAGGATTGCAGAAGTATACCTTAGGATGAAAATCAATGTACATCTAGCTATCTTCCAGAAATATTTATGTACACAAATGTTACAGGGAATGATAGTTAGCATACCAGTTTTTTATTAGCAAAAGAATGGGAAAAATTTAAGTTCTACCAGTGGTAAAAAGTAGGCTATAATATTCATGTTATGCAATAATTCTGTAGCCATTGAAAGGGTGGACTAGATCTGTCTGTACTGATAAGGGAACTTGTTCATGGTATGAAAGTTTAAAAAAGCCAAAATTAAAGATTATAGTATTCTATTAAGAATAAACAGAAAACTTCATGTACATACATATATATGTGTATATATATATATACATATACATATATATATGTGTATATATAGAGAGTCCACTCCCACCATCTGATAAGAATTCTCTGATTTTCTTCTAGGGAATCATCCTATAGTCCCTGATGTCAGTTTATGTTCAGTGGTGTTTTGTGCTTCTGGCTCCAGAGAGAGGCCTGTAAATCAGGTATGGTCCTTCATAGACATCCATTTTACTATAGGGATTGACACGTAAGAAAATTTGGGCCAAAACTTGTGTCCAGTTTTTGAGGGAGTGATATGCTCTTTAAGTTTACGTGTACTTGAAGGACATTAGCTTTGAACTTAAGCAGTCATCTTGGCATCACATGTAACCCAATCATAAACAAGAGATACCAGAAGCTAATAATGTTTATATTAATATCTGTAGCTTCCTTTAAGCCTGGATGCTCTTAAGAGCATATCAGATCTTTGTGTCTTTAACGTATGTGTTTGATTAGCATTTCTGTTTGTGTCAAAGTGAACTTAAAGGTATGTAATTTAGTTTTGTGGTGAAAATTTTGATTCTTTGTTTAATTTTAGGTGAGTTGATGTGAGAAAAATCCTGGTTGTTTTGAAGATGTCTCAGCACAGTATTGTTTTATGTTTAAGTCACAGATAACGTCAAGAGCTTCAAAACAAATGAAACTGGATTTTTTTTAAATCAAATCATGCCATTTGAACAGCCACAGTTATTTTGTGATGAAACACAAGCTACTTTGAAAAAAGAGTATGTTCTAAAAAATGAAATAGCTGATACTGTCGGATCAATATTTACACCAAAAATTTCAGAAACTAGTTTTCATTATGAACTAAAAAATGTAAACATCAATTTGCCGAAGATAAATATTCCAAATGAAATCTTAACGAAAAATGAAATTGAAAAATACAAAATATTATTTCAGAGTAAACCACAAACTGCAAGAAAATCCATCAGTATAAAGACCGTAAGCTGTGCGGAAGAGTGTGTGCGGCTTTGTAAGTCTGAGCGAGCTGAAGAAGAAGGTATAAAAATGTCTGCAAAAGTTCTCAACTTCAGTTGCTTCAAATGCCAAGACAGTACTCAGTATAGCCCAAACGATTTGCAGAAACACTTTGAAATGTGGCATCATGGTGAATTACCTTCATTTCCTTGTGAAATGTGTAATTTTTCAGCAAATGACTTTCAGATATTTAAACAACACCGACAGACCCATAGGAGCACTTTTGTAAAATGTGACATTTGTAACAGTGAGCGTTCATATACTTTATTGGCCTTGACAAAACATTTCACATCCAAACATTGTGTTAATGGTAATTTTCAATGTGAAGAGTGCAGATTCTTTACCCAGGACGTTGGCACATTTGTTCAGCACATTCATAGACATAAAGAAATTCATTATAAATGTGGTAAGTGCCACCACTTATGTTTTACCAAAGGAGAGCTTCAGAAGCACCTTCATGTTCACTCTGGCACTCTTCCTTTCACGTGTCAATATTGTAGCTATGGTGCCATCCATAAAGACCAACTTGTGAGGCATGTTATAACTTTGCACAAAGAGCACCTGTATGCGAAAGAAAAACTAGCAAAAGACCAGTATGAACAAAGAATGACAAAACCTTCCACAGGACTTAAGCTAATACTTAAAAGATACAGAATAGGTTCAACAAAGACATTTTGGAGACGTAAAAAAGTTACTGATGGGAGTAACAGAAATACAGAAAGAAATTCTCACGTGCTCAATATAGTGAACAGCACACAGACTAAATCTGAAAACCAGAGCCAACTTGGTCAAGAGCATTTAAATGAAGAAAAGGCTGAAAGACTATACCGAGAGAATGGTTACAAGCCCACAGGATCAGAGTCTGAAAAGTCAACTGTGCTGTCCACTGCACAGTATAATAGAGCTGCAGAGGGAGCAAATACTACTTCAAGTTTTCTAAAGAGTGGTCTCCAAGGGCCTACAGTGTTAATGGTGAAAAATAATAAGATAACAATTCCTGCCAACTATAGTGCTAAGTTTATGGGCTTCAAGGTGGTGGATGGAAAACAGCATATTGTAATAAAGTTGTTGCCTACCAATAAACGGAATTTATCTTCACCAGCTTCCCTGCCGGACACAGCAAAGGATAGTACAGCTAACTTGAAGCCCCAGACTTTGGACAACACTGGATTTTTAACTGGAGTAACAACAGAGGTGAGTGACGCAGTTTATATGAAAGCAACTCCATTTTCACGTTCATCTCCTATACTTTCTGGGAAAGTAAGTTCTGGAAAAGATACAGCTTTCAAACCAGAAAAGAATAATTTGCTTCAAACAATGGATAACAGTAGAAGTTTATCTTCCTTGCCAACAACATCAGAATCAGTTACTGCATCAGTGAATTTGACCACAAAAGTTGAAGCAAGAGATAATGTTGATTTATGGGGAAATCATACCACTCAGAGTCATCCAGAAGTATTAGGTACCATCAGTAAAAGTCCTGATAAAGTGAACCTTACCACCAAGCCAAATGCATACAATGGTAGAGATATGCATAACTATTGCATTAATTATGTCAACTCTGAATTAAATGATGAATCCCCCAACCATACTGAATCCTACACCTATGTTGACTCTTCCAACCAAGGATCATTACCTTTTCATAATTACTCGAAAGTGAATAATAAACGTCGTAAGTTTTCAAGAACAGCAACTTGTGAAAACCTTCAGAGGGAATCTTCAAGCAAAACAGTTCAACAGCCAACTAGTGATACAGTTTTATCACCAGTGAGGAAGGAGAGCTCAAACTCGGAGAGCGTGTTAGCATCTGACAGCCCTTTAACTGGTAAAGATGAAACTTTAAAAACAAAAGCTGAAATTGAAGAACAATACAAGTTAAAAGAAAGACAACGCATTGATGAACAAAGCCTGTTCACGAATGAAAACCAAAATTCATTGAGTGTGACTGAAGACTCTAAATGGAATGACATTCCTAATGGTGGTGGCTCACCCATGATGCCTAGAATCACATCTGTTTTCTCTCTCCAGAGCCAACAGGCTTCAGAACTTTTGCCACCTGAAATAAACCAGTTACTTCAAGATATATTAAAACCAAAATCTGATGTAAAGGAAGACTCTAATAACATTCCAAGTAAAAACCTACCCATTGATTGTGACAAGTCATTTAGAAAAGCCGAGGAGGAAGAAATGGTAGCAGAGTCCTCAAAAGACTTCCAGATGCAAGGTGTCTCCCCAGTACCCTCTGCCAGTGTAGGTGTTAGTGTTCCTGCAGATGATCTGAATTTAAAATGTAATAGAAAAGAAAACCAAGTTCTGCTAGCATCACAAGATGTCAGAGAGTCAGAGTTGACACCTAAAATTCCAGGTATGGCCACACTACTTAAGACTCAGTCAGATGCAATAATAACACAGCAGCTTGTAAAAGATAAACTCCGAACACAAAATTCAGGTTCTGTATATATGCAGAATCCAATTCTAACGTCAGAACAGAGAAACCCTGTATTTGTTCAAACTCCGAAAGGTTTTTTTATACCACTGCATGTGGCTAACAAGCCTGGATTCCATGTTTTTTCTGGAAGACAACTTCCACTGGTTAATACACAGAGTGTACCTGCTTCCCTCCTTGTAAACAAAAAACCTGGGATGATTTTGACATTTAATAATGGGAAACCTGAGGGTGTGCCCATTGTCAAAACTGAGACTGCTCATGCTTATGGAACTGTGACGAAGGAACCTTGCAAAACATCTTTCCTAAAGGTGGAACACAACCACAGTAACTGTTTGACACCTGCTGTTTGTTCCAGCATTGGCAGTTGCTCGAACATGAAAAGTAGCTCAGAAAATGCATTGCCATTAAGAGGTCCTTACATTATTAAAACATCAGCAAGTTCTTCAGTGAGAGCTGTTCCTTTTCCTAATGTTCTACCTGAGCAGCAGGGCCCCAAGATGAATATCTTGGATTCAATAAAGCAGCAGAATGAAAGTTTCCCCAAAGCACCTCTTTATACCCTCTATCCTGATGGCAAACAAGCTGTTTTCTTAAAGTGTGTGATGCCAAATAACACTGAATTCCCTAAGCCTAAATTAGTCCAGAATAGTACTTATCAAAATATACAGCCAAAGAGACCTGAAGGAACACCACAGAAAATACTGGTGAAAATTTTTAATCCTATTCTAAGTGTGAGTGCTGCTAGTAATCTCTCTGTTAGCAATTCTGCATCCCTATTACAGAAGGAGAATGTACCAGCTAAACCAACAGGACTTGGAGAACAGAAAGAGCCAGAATCCTCTAGGGATGCCTTACCAGTCTTACTAGGTGATGTGATGCCAGCAAATGCAACTGTTCTTAATTCTACTGCAGCATGCCCGGAATCTTCTGAGGAACCAGTATGTATCAGTGAGCATTCAGAAGCCAGAGTATTAAAGTGTAAAACAAATTGTACAGTTGAGGGAAGTTTCAATAGAAGAAAGACATGCAAAAGTAAGTTTGCAAAAATAAAAACTCGTATAGTAAGTCAAGATTCTGAAACTGCCTTTGTATCTACAAGTCAAAATCCTGAAACTGCCTTTGTGTCTAGAAACAGAAGTTGTAAAAGAAAGTATAGTGATAATTACCAAGAACGTCCAAGAAAAAAATTAACATCACATAAGAAGTATAAAGAAAAGGCTAAAGCTGAAGATGTGCAGGAAACATTTGGACTCAACAGACCTAGGCTTTCAAAAAATTCAGTTAGAACTTTGAGACTTTTCCCTTTTAGTTCCAAACAGCTTGTGAAATGTCCTAGGAGAAACCAACCCGTCGTGGTTTTGAACCATCCCGATGCAGATGCCCCAGAAGTAGAAAGTGTAATGAAAACTATTGCAAAGTTTAATGGACGTGTATTGAAGGTTTCATTGTCAGAAAGAACTATCAGTGCTTTACTGAAACCAGTTTATTGTAACACTCCTGAAACAACTGACAATGGTTTTTCCAAGAGACAGAAAACATTTAAACCTATTAATTCTGTGGAAGAAAGGTTTGTGCTAAAATTAACACTGAAAAAGACAAGCAAAAATAATTACCAGATTGTAAAAACTACCTCTGAAGATGTCTTGCAAGCTAAATTTAAGTGTTGGTTCTGTGGTAGAGTATTTGACAATCAGGATGTGTGGGCTGGTCATGGGCAGAGACATTTAATGGAGGCTACTCGGGATTGGAATATGTTAGAATAACTTAATGTAATTACCAAGCAAAAGTAACTACCTTAGAAGAAAACAGTGGGTTAAGTTACCATAATGCAGGTATTTGCTACTTCATTATCATTTTTGAACACTGTAAAAGTTGGTTATAGTTCCATGGAAGAGCAAAGCTTTATGTGTGGTACTTGAAAGTGCCACAGTGCACGTTTTGAAAGACATGAATCAATGCAGCTAGACCTTGATTTGATTGTTCAAAAATGTGTCTGGGAGGTTAGAGCTAAGGAAATTTTTGATAAAAGTTTTCCCAGTTGAGTTCTTTTGAGACTCTTACTAGAGGGTAATGGTGGACGGGCCCATTCCCTTTTTCTCCCACCAGCCTTATGGTTCTGACAGATGTAGTTCCTCTGAAGATGGAGAGCTCTTTCACACATGAATGGGTTTCTTACCACTTGTGGAGATGGACTGTGAGAGCTTTGGGGTAAAGGAGTTACCTCTATTATAGTTCATTTGGAAGGTATTAGGTTCCTTGTGAAACCACATGTAATTTAGCTGTAGGTAAACTTGGAAATAATGCTTGAAGAGTTTCAGGCAAGTAACTCTTGTTTCCTGTTACTCTGTGCTCTATCAGATTGCTCACCCCCCACCCCCAGAGAATTTTCTTTTCAATGGCTGTGTCAGTCATTGCAGTAAATGGGGCAGCCTCGAGAAGAATTAAGCTTTGTCTGATGTTTACCTGAACTTCAACAGCTTTCTGAATTTGGTTATATTCTCCAGTGATCCCCTTGCACAGAGCTATGCTTATCTGGTTGAAATTGTCCATAACCAAACAGCCATTTTTCCTCCCTTGGTTGCCATCCCTTCAAAATGAACAGAAAGAACGTAGGAGCACTTCAAAGGCAATGGCTTTTCTTGAAAATTAAAACAGTTTATTTTTACAGAGATAATATTTTGAAGCAAGATTAGCAAAACCATATTTTTGTTTGTTTTTAATTACTGGTCTTGTCTAAACATGTCCACAGTAGGACAGACATTTTTGTTAGTAACTTTTCAAGATGACTGACGACCCAAAATAGCTATGTATTATTTGTTGGCCTTTGAAGTGAGCATTAACAGTGGACTCAGCAGCGGTTCATAAAACTTGAGGATAAATTCCTAAGAAACATGTTCAACAATTTTTAAATGGATATTTTCATAACAATCCATAGATATAAAGCTTTATCATATAAGTTTGCATTAATTTTTTTTCTTCATTGGCTAATGGAGTTCTTGTATTAGAAAATTACATACTTGATAATTTTTTGTTACTATACATAGTAATAGCATTTTCATGGATTGGATTAAAACTTCAGGGCTTATTTTTTGTACATAACAAAAGTTAAATCTGTACATATTTTTGTACTTGGTTATGTAAATTTTGCACAGAAAGTTTTTGACATAAAAATTTATTTTCTTTTGGTTCTGTGCATGCACTAATAAAAGTGGTTAATTTAAAAAGAATATTGAAGACTGTACCCATGTTATTTTCTTGATTTTCATTTCTGATGTGGGTTTTTTGTTTTGTTTTTTGTTGGGGGGCATTGATTTTTCAGGGATTAAACACTATTGTTAGCAAGTGCCTAAAAATGATGTGAAACAGTTTACATATGTCAATTGTAACAGTAGGTCTGAAATGGACCCATTTCCCTTATAGTTTTATTTTAAAGAAAGCCATAATAGATTGCTTCAAGCTATCTTGCTATGCACATTACACTTGTACTGATTTTGTGCAGTTTATCTACTTTCTTAGTGGAGTATTTTTTGATAAAACCTGTTAAAATTGTGTTTCTTAAATTGAGCTCAAGTGGAATTGATTGGAAATACACAGTATATATTAATAATGTATACAATGTTTAAAGAATGGTAAGCTCTGTTAATTTTGTTGTTCATTGTTAATGAAGGTTTTCTTCAATTAAATTTATCTTAAGCTTGTGTTTATATGAGGTTTTTTTTTTTAAACAGCTAAAATCTAATGGGAATTTTAAAGAAACTGTTTCTCTTGCTCTGTTGTCTCTCCCTCTCTCCTCCTCTTTCTCTTTTGTGTGTGTGTGTGTGTGTGTGTGTGTGTCTATGTGTGTTTAATGCCAGTGAATGCAACAGAATAAATGTGGGATTTTTTTTCTTCCAAAAATACATGTGAAATTTGTTTGGAAGGTCACGTTTGCACTGTTGGCCCTCGGCTCTGCTGACCATGGAGAAGCTGCTGTCCTGCACTCGCAGCAGTAACAGCGAACTGCTTCGTCCTTATGAGTAGTTCTGAAATGATATGTATCACCTATGAACAGAGAGAAAAGAGGAGAAGCTGTGCTGACAGGCCATAGCACTAGAACAACAGGTTTCCAAATAGCCACTCTGGGAGAATTAATGTTGGAGATGCTTACTTGTGTTCTTTCAGTTTTTCTTTTAGTTTTAGAAACCATCTAAAGGCAGCTCCTGCCCAGATATTCTGGTAGGAACTTTGAGTTTGTTAACTTTGTACACCATTCTGAAGGTGCCGCTTTATTGCCAGAGTAGAACATCAAACACAGTACCTTATATCGTTTCTTTTTTTTTTTTTCCTTGACTGAAACTGTGCTAAAGATGACTAAAATGCATTCACTTTTCTGAAATTCTTAATACAATTGAAGGATTGGTTTCAATTTTTTCAAACTGCTGGCTCAGGAATTTTTTTTTCTTATTTGTATATTTCCATTGAAGGGAACTTACCGCTGTTCAGCATTTGCTTTTTTAAAAGTTCACTTTTCAGAGTTTTCCTTACTAAATACACAGCAGCACAGTCTGAAATGTAAATTTATAATGAAAAATGTTTTTATTGAGGGGTCAGATTTTTTTCAATAAAGGGTTAGATGATAAATAACTATGGCTTTTATAGAATACAGCCTGTGAAAGCTCCCCAACTCAGTGCAGATGCAGCCATGGACAATGTGTAAGTGAATGTGACTTAGTAAAACTACAAAGATAGGCAGTCCAGACCTGAACCATATTTTTTAATAATCATTGCTTGAGCTCCCTTAAAGATCTTATCATGGAATTTTCAGTTTAAAACAAGTTTGGGGCTGGAGAGATGGCTCAGCATTTAAGAGCACTCACTGCACTTGCAGAGGATCTGGGTACCCTCCCAGCACCCATATGTGGCTAAAAACAATCTGTAACTCCAGAGATTCAAAGCCTTCTTGGATTCTGCAGACATTGCACACATGGGTGCATATACATGCAGGCAAAACACTCAGAATTTTTTACAAAATATTTTTTTTTAATTAAAAATCAAGTTGGTAATTTGTGATATACATCTGTGTAAAAGACTTACAAAGTAGGGGCTGGAGAGGTGGCTCAGCAGTTAAGAGCATTGACTGCTCTTGCAGAGGACACGGGTTCAATTCCCAGCACCCATGTGGCAGCTATGAACCATCCTTAACTCCAGTTCCAGGGGAATCTGAAGCCCACTTCTGACCTCCGCGGCATTGCAGGACACGAGAGCACTCACATATATGCAGGCAATACACTCACACATAAAATATTTTTAAAAGACAAAGTATTAAAAAAAAACCCATGTAGATATGTTTGTGTAAAAATGAACGAAAATAGTAAAGAATGCCTGTCATTTGTGAGCTAGGAATAATTTATGGAGGGACTGAAAATGAAATGAAGCAGAAATGAAGAATTGGTTATTTAGGAAGTAGATACTAGTTGATCTCAACATTTGAGATAGTTGAAAAAGTAATGGCAGTTCTTGGCATGGGAGAAAATGGAGGTGTGGTCAAAGCAGTTGTTAGGTATTAATCCCGTCCAACTCAGTCTTTAAAACAACTTTTCTTGATACTGTTGCCTTTTGCTTACTTGACCTGTGACAACACCTCATCTGGGGTGTTGGCTTCTTTGCCTTAGGAACCTGGTAGAATATTAGTGCTCATCAAAGTACTTTGACTTCTTTTGGTTACCTCATGAGGTGAAACTTACTGGGAAAATTTACGTTCCAGGGCATTGTTGCTAGTTACAAGTGACAACTTTTTAAAAAATATTTTTATTATATCTGTATGAATGCATTGTCTGCATGTGTGTAATTGCATCATGTCGTGCAGTACCTGCAGAGGTCAGAAGAGGGTGTCACATTCCCCAGGAACTCGAGTTAGTACGGCTATTTGCTGCCATGTGAATGCTGGGAACAGAAGGTGGGTCTTCTGCAAGAACAACCAGTGCTCTTTACTGCTGAGCCATTTCTCCAGCCCTAACAACTTTTATAATTTTTTTCCATATAATGGAGACTGAATTGGTTGATTTTGATGTTTACTGTTTTGTGTCCTTCCTTTAAGAAGGAACCAACATCTTGGAAAAGGCATTTGATGAAGCCCTTGTTAACTCTTAGCTAGTTCTCTCTAAAATAATTTCTTTTAATCAGTACATCCGTATTTAATAATTGTCTTTCTTTAAAGACATTATTACAATAATATAAAATTATTAATGTAGGAAACAAAATATGCATTCATTTTAAAAGGTACATGATTATATATATATATATTATATATATATAGTTTTTTGAGACAAGGTATGTACACCAGGCTGGCCTCAAACTCAACAGAAATCTACCTGCCTCTCTCTCCTGAGTGATGAGATTAAACGCCTAGCCAAGTTACAGAATTTTAGAAGATGCCAACAAGTACAAGATTAAAAAATTTTTTTTTCTTATAATCTGTCCATAATTTAAGGTGCTGTAACCAAAGTGAGGGCTATGTTCAAATTGCAACTCTTGAAATGTGCCTTTTAATGAAAGAATGAAACATGAATGTCTGATACTAACACTGTCAGAACTTAATGTAAAAGTAATAGTACAAAATGAAAGCTAAATTTGGGGAAGAGCAAAATAGACTTGATGACTTGCTTTCATACCTTGAAAACCCTAACAGTACCAAAACATTAGATCCTTGAACAATTGACTGTAATAACAAGGAAGCAAGCACTAGGTGACCTATTTATGGTTAAAATATGTAAACTAACCTTACATGAAGCATCCAGAAGAAAAGATATCAAGCTTGATTAGGAAAAGGTAGTTGTGTGTGGACAACAACATACACTCATTCAGCTGACCACGTTTTCCTTAGCTGTGCTCTTCCCACCCTCTTGCTCCATAAGCAGAGAGTCTGTTAGTATTCAAAGACTGGCGTACCACACACCCGATTCCAGGAGTCCATATGAGATTATTCTGAGATGAGCTGAGAAGAGATAAAGGAACACATGAGGGCCTCTGTTTGGGGAATTGGCTTCTATCGTTAGGAGGCTGAGAAGTCCTAAAAATAGGTAGGCTGCAGACTGGAGACTCAAAGATGCTGGCAGTGTGGCCCTTGGTCCAAGATCCCAAACCCAAGAACCAGGGTGTGATTCTTCAGCCCAAGGATAATGGACTGTTAGCATCCAAAGGCCAGAGAGATAAGAATTCTGACATCCAAAGGTAGAAGAAAAAGGATGGAAAAAGGATGCCCCCATTCCCACTTACTCCACCAACATATGAACAACTTTCCTTTGAAAATAACCCTTACAGACATCCAAAAAAAAAAAAATTGCTTTATGAGCTCCCAAG